TATAATACTACCTACCATTCTGCCCTAAAGATTACACCCTTTCAAGCACTTTATGGGTACAAACCACCTACTATGGTTTGGTACACAGAAACTAAAGTACAATCTGTCAATGAATTAATGCGCAGCAGAGAGGATATGCGAATGCTAGTTAAGGAACAACTTGAGATTGCAAGTAACAGAATGAAACAAAAAGCAGACAAGCACAGATCAGAAAGAGTTTTTGAAGTTGGGGATTCTGTTTACCTGAAGCTGTAACCTTATCGACAGACGACATTAGCCCTGCGAAAGAATTTAAAGTTAGCAGCGAAGTTCTATGGGCCATATAAGATTACAGAAAGAATCAGGGAAGTTGCTTATCGCTTGAGCTTACCTGAGACATCGAGGTTGCATCCTGTCTTTCATGTCAGTCTTTTGAAAAAACATATTGGAGACTCTGTCGTTTCCTCTACGGATCCTCCTGTCATGGATACAAAAGATCAGTTCAAAATAGAGCCATATAAAATTTTGGGACGATGAATCATTAATCGTCAAAACAGACCAGTGACTCAGTTGTTGGTACGATGGACAAACCTTGACGAAACACACAATACTTGGGAGGATTATACTGTCCTTCGCGGCCAGTTTCCAGACTTTGATCCTTGGGGACAAGGATCGTCTCCAGCGGCGGGTATTGTCACGATAGGGAGAGAAGAGAGAAGAAGCGAAGGAGACGAAGAGGAAATTGGGGGAAATGGAAATCAAGGGTTAGGGATTGACAATGAATTGGGGAGGAGTTACCTGATTAAGGATCACGTGAGAAGCACAAGAAGAGGAGAGAATTACCATCAGGAGAGCTGAGTCCAAGAGCAAGCAGTCAGCCCAGTGGGGAGCCCAATACCTAAAAAAATATCAAAACGGTTATGCAGGAATCTACAGCTGGCATTTAGTTAGGATTGTTGGTACCTTGTAAACAAATAAAACAACGTACTGTGTAAAGGCAATCATGCATATTTTTGAATGAAATCCTATTTCTAAATCTCTATTCTATTCTTTTCTCTACGCTTTCTTCTTCTCTAATTCCTTAAACTATCTCAATTCATCACAGAGTATCTCGAGAGTATTGTTTGCAAGAACCTGGAGATGTGTGTTCAAGTTTTACAACAATGTGAACTCCTATTCCCTCTTGCGGATGAGCTGAAAATAGTTAGCCGATGCATCGATGCCATAGCTTCAAAGGCTTGTGCGGAGCAGATAGCATCGAGCTTCTCGCGCTTAGAACACAGTAGTTCAGGGAGACTTCATATGAACAGAAAAGCCAAATGTGAGGGAGACTGGTGGATATAAGATCTTTCGGTTATTAGGATTGATTTGTACCAAAGAGTCATGACAACCATGAAATGTCATGGTGTCCGTCCCGAGAGCATCGGTGCATCGCTCGTAAACTATGCACAGAACGAGCTGACCAAGAAATCCAGTTTGTGGAATCCATCGGGACAGACAAAAATCGTTTTCCTTTCGACTGAGCACGAATGTCTGGTGGTTGAGACGATCGTGAGCCTTTTACCTGTCGAGGAACTTGCTGTTCCTATTAGCTTCCTTTTCGGACTTCTTAGAAGCGCAGTGATGCTTGATTGTAGTATTGCTTGTAGGCTTGATCTAGAGCGGAGGATTGGTTCCCAGTTTGATATTGCAACTCTTGACGACCTTCTGATCCCATCTTTTCGGCATGCGGGTGACACCTTATTCGATGTTGATACAGTTCAAAGAATACTGGTAAAATTTTCTCAGCAAGAAGATAGTGAAGACGATATATACGATGTGTCTGTTTTCGGATCGGATAGTCCTCATTCACCATCACAAAGTGCATTGTTCAAAGTTTCGAAGTTAGTGGATAATTATCTTGCAGAAATTGCTCCTGATGCAAACCTCAAGCTTGCAAAGTTCATAGCCATTGCAGAGGCTTTACCTACGCATGCCCGGACGATCCATGATGGACTATATCGAGCCATTGATATTTACCTGAAGGTATGTACTCTAATATATTCATTTTATACTTTACCACCAAACTTCTTGATAAACTTTCTAATGAATGAATTTTTCAGGCTCATCAAGATTTACCTGATGCAGACAAGAAGATGCTCAGCAAACTGATTGATTTTCAAAAGCTTTCACAAGAAGCCGGTGCACACAAAACGAACGACTTCCCCTCCAATCTATAGTCCAAGTTCTTTATTTCGAGCAAATAAGGCTTCTAAACGCTTTGAGCTGCTCTTTTCCCGACGATGACCACAAGCCGGTACATCACCAATCGTGGCAGATCAGGAGTGGTGCACTCAGTGCAGCAATGTCTCCGAAAGACAACTATGCATCTTTGAGACGGGAAAACCGGGAACTAAAACTCGAGCTAGCTTGGATGCGGATGAGATTAAATGATCTACAGAAAGAACATGTTTATATGAAGAGAGATATGTCGAAGTCTAGTTCTCGTAAATTTATGAGTTCCTTCTCAAAGAAAATCGGTAAACTAAGCTTCTTTGGACATACCTCTTCAAGAGGATCAAGTTCGCCATCGAGGAAATCCTACAGAACGGATTCTAAGGTGATTGAGAGGACATGTGCAAGCACCGATTAGGTAACTTAAAATGACATGCAAGTATCTGTTAAGGCCATGATTTTGGCAAACTTTTGTCCATGTTTTTTCACTTTTCTTTTCTTTTGGCGACATTGTATATGAGTTGTGATGTTTTGAGTTACATCGTATTAGTTTTCAGCAACTTTGTTATTTTGTGTAATGAGTCCTCAAGTTCCTAAGAATATATTGAATAAACACACAAAGTATCATAATCAAGGGCAAAGCAAGCTACATTGAACAGAATTTTAGAAGGTTTTTGGGGTTTTATTTTTATTATTCTTGGAGAAATCCATTGATCTACATAGTTCTTCAACAAGTAAAAGACCTGGAAATTCTGCTCTAGACAATGCAACTTTTCTTCTCCTTTCCTCATAATTAGTAGACAAGGAAAAGGAAACTTTCAGATGAAGCAACTTTTGGTCACTGTCATGTTTCCTTGAACAAAGTTTCAAAATGGTAGCAATATGTTTCTCACCCGCAGGTTCAGTTTCAGATGTATAATTTGTTACTGATCTCTCTTTAAACTCTTTGTAAGTGTTCCGGAACTTGGCCATCGTATCAGCGAGGGATTCAAACTGTGAAGACAGATAGAATTTGTCTCCGGAAGCTTGCTCCTGGAGACTTCCATCTGCAACTAGCTTGAAACTGTTGCCAGTCTGATTGGCAATGGTCTTTGTGCATTGGTGTTGTCCCAGCAGACGACTTGCTTGGCGAGTCCAATTCAAGCAGTTGCCAGTGAACGTAACTTCTGGGTGGTTTCTTTTGCTCCAAGGAAGCTTGGACGTCGTATCCTTTCTGTTTTTTCAGTTTATAGATTGTAAGGTTAGGAACAATGTAAGAGACTCTCCCTAGTTTCAACACAGAGTCGGATCTAACCATGATCCACGGATACTCAAACATATCCGGTCGAGTAACACAGTGTCTGGGGTTCCTCTTCAACACCTCTGAAGCGATAATAGGTTCTGTGTATGTGTCTACATGCCGTCCTGGATGGAGCAATTTCAGTATGCCTTTCTCTGCTTCTATGGCCCTCATGATTTGTTCTTCATAAAAAAAAACGCAAGGAAGAGGGAATACACCGGAAGCCCTTGTTTGTTCTTACTTCTTATACTGTCATACGGCGACTAGAATCTAAATGGCGATGAAATCGAGGAAGGTGCTTTGGAGAGATAAGAATTCTAGTTGCTAGGATTTTGTCATGGTGTTTGCTTGAACACCATGATCTATAAACGGATAAAGACGCGTGATCGTCTAACGGTGCGTTTAGTTAACCAAATGTAAGATTATCGACGGAAATTATTGGGAATGTTGTATTGTTGTGTTTGGTTTGTTTAGTAGGAATGTAATATTACAGTGTTTGGTTTTCTTAACAAATTGAATCATACTATAATTTTACTATACTTAATTTATATATTTTATTTAAAAATTTTAAATTCATAAAATTTATATAATTTTTTTTTACAAAATTGAAAAGATAAATAGGTTTAATGAAAGAGTAAAATTTTATTTTAACCTCTGAACTTCACATAAAATTCTAATTATGGATTTTTTTTTGTAAATCTAAAATAGTTTAAGAATAAATTTATTTTTTAACCTTCGTAGAATTTTTTTATTCAACGATAAAAGTATAGTTTTGAAAAAAAAATTAAGGGTATTTTAGTCCAAAACGCCAGGAATGTAACAATACCTAAGGGAATGGATAATCACATTTCCGGTAATATATCTCCAAAATACTAATATTGGGAACAACTTATTACCGGGAGTTGGAAATGTTTGTCAATCAAACGGGAGAATGGATCATTCCCCAGTAATCCAATATTACCTGAATCAAACGCCCCAAGGGAATACTTTGCAGTGTAGTATCAATCAATCTAAGGGAAACCAGATTCAGACAGTGTATGTTAAAAGAGAAATTGCTACTTTTTATTCTTCACATCTAGAAAAGATTTGGCCTTTAGAATAATCATCTCGTCAAATTCAAAGACTATGCTTTGAACTAGTAAAGCATTTAATCGCTTGGTTCTTCAAGAACCAACAAATTGTTTATGAATTTGTGCATTGATTGTTCGTGTAATTTCATGCAGCATTTGATTCAATATTGATGATTTTAAAGGGAACCAGTACTACTTTTAGACATCAAGTAGCATTTTGACCTGAATTTAGCTCATAAATCAATGGACTGAACTACATAACACTATTGGAGAAGATCTTAAAGGTTACCATACCAGAAAGAAATGGTAGTTTAACCAAGTAATGCAAAGAAGAACAAGGTAGATATTGCAGAGAAAATGGGGCACGAGCAAATATTGTAATATCGAAGTTCGACCATCCCATAACATGTGACAATTCCAAACAAACTTTTAATAAACATAATCATATTGTGAAGTTCTTTTTCTTTCAATCTTAGGTTGCGCTCTCGATGCTTAAGCGGATGATTTGGTATAGAAACGGACGCCAAAGGCCAATCCCAAGATCAGCAAGGGAACAAGGAATTGGAGAAGCTTGGTAACGAAATCTGAGGTCTTTTCCTGCTCATAGTGCGGCTGCTTGGGTGGGGAGTACTTGGTCTTAGTTGGGATGGTTGATGTATCGATGTCGCCCACATAAAACTCGTCCATCATTGCTCGAGCACTGCTACTATGACCAACATCCTCAAAATCATCACTTGCATCTTTCCCTGCCAAGCTCAGCCAAACATCAAACCAAGGTTATTAAAATTCTTTTCAACATTTTCCACAGAAATTCCCACATTGAATCATACAAAATAAGTGGAAATTTTGGTGGGATTTGTTTACCTGTTGCGGACAATAAGACCTCATCACCACCAGGATGATCCTCCAAGAATTTAGTCACATTGTAAACCTGTTCAAGCATAAGGAACTTTTAGGGGCATAAAAGGGTGCCAAATAGAAATAAATATAAGTAGTTAGCCCTCTAGAGTCGAATTCAGCGGTTAAATTAATGGGAAGACTGATATCTAAATCTAAACCTTGCTTCGTGTGACAAGAAGATCAAACCGGCTTCAACGACATAAAAAAAATTTGCCCTTAGCACCCTCTTGAGATTCATGAAAGAAACCACAACAAAAGTTCATGAAATTTTCCAGTGACATCTTTAAAATGATGATAATATTACTTATAAAGTCACTCTCATCCAAAAGATATCTACAAATGCAGTGAATATGATACCAAATACACATAACAGCTGGTCTCTCTTAATGAACCTTAGTACAAACTAACAAGAGAATTCATTATGCGACCACCAACCCGTTGGTCTATTGGGGCGAGACACCAGATCCGGAATGGAGCAAACTAGGTTGGGAGGGTCAACCTTGCCTGTCCCCAATCCGGAATAATCAAATAGCGGTGGTTATACCAAAAAAAAAAGTCCATCATGCAGGATTCATTCAAGGGCTATACTAAATCTTAAGGGAAACAAAGCAGAAAAACAATTGTTAAACCATCAAGCCAGATTAATGTAATAATTAAGAAATCCAGTGAACTGAGACGCATGGGGTCTATACTTGCATCCAGCTTTAGGATCACAAGAGAATATGTAAGATCCAAGCAAAAGATTGGCCTTGAAACTGAGGATTTATATTGAATCTGTGTTATCAATCCAGAAAATTCAAAATCTTCTCATCATCAAGACCAAAATAAACAAAAATCGAACAGACAAGAAAATAAATCCAAGAACGCTAGAAAAAAAAGTCAAAACTTGCAATTCAGAAATAAATCAAAAACCCAACTTCAGGAATTTAAAAAAAAAGGAAAGACAGCCCCAGACTGAAACTGGATCATCCGAGAAATCTGTAGCAACAGAAGAAGAAAGAGGTACCTTGCCCTCAATGACAAGCCAACAGTCTTTAGCATGGTTGTGTTGGGAAACCTCCGCCAAAGTATAGACCTTCCCCCTCTCCACCCATATTCTTGCCTTTTTTTTCTCTTCTTTTTTTGCTTGATTGTGGAATAAGAACAGCGGAGAATTGTTGACCAAACTATAGAGGGAAGCCAAAATAAAGGTTTGGGTAAATTACACCGTTTTATTACTTAATTATCTTCTCACTCTTATTTTTATCATTATAATTTAATTTATTTTAATTTCATTACTGAATTTTTTTAATTGTTCTTGTTTCAGTCATTCCATCATTTAAATTATAAATTCTGTGATGACATGGATTAATTTTATTATTTTTAATATTAATGTTAAATAAAATTAAAATCATATACACCCTAATCACAATCCTAAATCTCAAACTCTAAAATTCAGCCATCACCCCAAACTCTCGTCGACGTTTCATAATGACGCACCAGCATGTACTATCGTAATTTATTGCGTAAGCACATTCAAGATATTCGTTGGCACTTATTGCATCTTCGACGTCGATTGGCAATGTGACAATGAACCATCAAAATTACACGATCCAACTTTTACTATGAATCAATAATCAAAATCACGCTAATCTAATCGTGGACTTCAGCCTGTTTCATTTGTTGTAGATGAGTCTGTTGATGGTGGGTACAACTAACGAAAATACGTGCAGCAACATGTAAAAGAAAGTGAATTTTCAAGAAGCTATCATAGGTGCACGGAACTTTAGTTGTCGGATGAAAGGGGCACATTTTTCAAACCCCAGCCGATTACCCCAAATCAGATAGCAATCATACGATGAAAGGGGCTCAAATCGTGGTTATTCGATTCCAGATTTAATTTGGTTTGCTTGGTTTTTCGGGTAGGTTACACGAGCGCCTAAATTAGAAGATTGAAAAGGGAAAGAAAAGCTTCATCCGACATTGATATCAATATGAATGGTGACTGAAATGTGATGACATACAGAAGTGATGGCATCAGTGTTGGATTTATTGAATCTGTGTTGATTCACGTTCACAAGGGTCGTGCAATTTTGGTGAGATATTTCGAGACTTCCTGACCTCTAACGACGGAAGCTAGTATGACGACCAACATGATAATTGAATTATGTGTTGGTTTAGGCGAGAGAGAAAATGAGGGGAGGAACAAAAAAGAAAAAAATAAGAAAAAAATAGACTTTTTATATAGAACTAAATCGATGTCTTTTTAAACTAAATTTAGATTTATGTATGGAACTAAAATGATGTCATTTTAGTACAAATTATCATGTCATATTATCATTAATTATTGAATGATGAAGTGATCAAAACATGAATAATATGAAAGTTTAATGATTAAATTGTAAATTTTTAAATACACTGACCAAAAATGAGAGCAAAAAGATAGTTGAGTGACGAGGTGAGGGAAGATGGTTTTTTTTTATAGATATGACAATTTAACTAGAAACCAAAGTGCTTTATTTGACTTTTCAAAGGGCTTTGCAATTTTGATCCCTTTACTTTTATGTTATTCTTTATTTGGTTTATATATATATATATATATATATATATATATATATATATATAGTACCTTTTATAATCTAGAATCTATCTATATTTATAAGCCCTTTCATTTTTTAATCAATTCAAAATTTCTATTTTTGAATTATTATATTATAAATATTTTTTGTACTTTTTTGATATTTTTTCATTATTATATAATAATAAAATAATATTAATTGAAAAATATTTAATTAAATAAAATATAACAATATTAAATACACTTATTATTTTAGATTAATTAACATTATAATTTCATATCAATTAGAATTAAAATTTTTAACACTAAAAATATATGTATTAAAATCAACCAATTTATCATTTTCATTTAATTTGTACATAAGGAAAACTATTGAAAATAATTGTTAGTACCTTTCACGGTTGTTAGCTTCCATAAGTTAAATAACAAAAATCTAACCTTTGTTATATTATATCATTTTAGTTTAAAAAGTTCTTTTTCTAAAAATACGCTTAAAATTATTTTTCATTTTACTAAAATTTTTTATTGGTTCTTAAAATTATATCTTTTACCAACTATCGGTTTGTCTAGTAAGATGATACACTAGATCTCTTAAGCAAGATCAGGAGTTCAAACCTTTGTATTTGCGAATGGAGCAAATTGTGTTGGAGGATCGCCCTTGTCTCTAAAGTATTCGATCTGGATTAGTCAGTCAATAGATAAAATATTAATAATTAGTTAAAAAATTATATCTTTTTATACATGTAAAATATAGATATGTCCAATCAATAATATCTTTTTATAAGATGTTGCCCATTGAATGTATCTTACTTGAAATATTATTTTATTAATAAATTAGAAAAAAATTGTCTTACAAGGCATATCTTTCAAAAGAAAATTAAAAAAAAGGGAGATTATGATTTAAAATTCGGTTGCAAGGTTAATGATGATTATTGAGTTATATGATTTAGAATGTTTGGTTTGTGGCAATCATATATATTTTAATATTTAACTTTAAACGTATACATATCTTTTAATTTAAATATCCAAAAATAAACTCTTTTTACTATTTAAAATTAAATAGATATTATTTTAATTTAAAATATATAGAAGCATATAATTATCTTTAATATTAAAAGTTAAAGAGATAACAAATACCTTTACAAATTGACATATTCAAAGTAATTATCTTACTAATATTCAAATTAAAATTATCTTCTAATTTACAATAGTAAAAAAATATAAATTTAATATAAATATTAAATCCATCGATTAAATTTACTATTTTTTCAACACCATCTCTGTGCTCACCCCAAGATCTTCTGCGCACCATTCGCGGGTCGGTTTACCCATTTAACTCACCCATCAAGCATCTGCACCTAAATCCAAAATGGGTTTGCTTATGCTTAGATTCATTCATTTTGAGTTTGCAGAATGATACCACACAATACTAAGCAGGGGCAGCTTCCCTTGCTCGTATGAAGGCCTACGAGGGCGTTCCTTCCCCGGATGACAAGGTTAAGAGGTTGGTTATCCCCGATGCTCTTAAGTTTCTTCCATTTTCCATTGCCATGTGCTCCTCTCGCATGTTATAAGTATCGTTTGGCATATTTGAAAAGAAATTTAAATAGGGTGTTGAGGCTTCAAAAGGGTCACAAGTACTGCCTGTTGGGGCGCTTGTCATCGGAAGTTGGATGGAACCATGACGACACCATAATGGTGAGTTTATATCATTATCCATTAGTGTTCTAAAGTATGAAGATGTTAATTGTATTCGAATATTGTTTCGTAATTTCCAGGAACACGAGAAGAAGACGAAGGAGAGGCCGAGAGGGCTCAGGTTGCATATGAGAGGAAGAAGCAGCCGACTAAATAGGGTGAAGGCTGAGAAGGCTGCCGAGGAGAAGCTTGGCTCTGAACTACACATCCTTGTCCCCGTTTAGTGAGTTTACTTTTCAAGTGGCTAGCTTGTTTCTTACAGTATGAATAGATTTTAGTGCCGAGGACAGCAGTTCACTAGAATGCTATGATCTTGTCGTAACCGGTTTTCGCCCGGACACGGAATTTTTACTTGGCGGAAAAAGTGATGTGAATAAATGGTTTTAAAATGTTTTAGGAGTCGCCATCAGCCTTTTGGGTCAGGTAGGTCGAATACCTAAAATTATCTTTTAAAAGAGTTTTTAAGAAAACATCAGTTAAAAGATAAACTAGTCTGCGTTTTAACCAAAAATTCAATTCGTTCTTTTTAATAATAAAAGGGATTCGTGGTCGTTTACGTTTGGGGAATGATTAGCACCCCAATAACGCCCAAAATTGGTACTCATTAATTATAAATTGTCTCTATTATTGGAAATTTAAAAATTCAAAAATATATTTAATTTTTAATCCTGTTATTTCAAATTTATAATTTTAAGAAAATATATTAATTTATATATATATATATAAGATATTTATTTATTTAGAAATATCAGAAAATGACTTCTAGGTGCATTAAGACAGCTCATTTCTTAATATTAAAAAATAAATAAATATTAATAAAACATTTCTATTAATATATATATAATTGATAAAAGTAAAATATTTATATAAAAATATCAGAAAATGGACATCCAGTTGCTTTAAGACTGCACTTTCTTAATATTTAAATAAATATTAAAAATAATATTTTTCTCTAATAAAACATTATGTTTTTCTAGCTTTTATAAGTAAAATATTTATTTATTTTTTAAATATCAGAATAGGACATCTAGTTGCTTTAAGACTGCCCTTTTCTTTAATATTTAAAAATAAATATTATTATAAAATTATAATATTGTATTTCATGTAAATATTAGTGAATAAAACATAAATAAATAAATAAAATACTATATTTAAAGTATATGATCAAAATAAAATTAATATTATATGGTATTTTATTATTAATATAATATTAAGTAAAAAAATAATGATCAAAATAAAAGAGATTGAAAGCAATAATATTAAATTGAAAATATTAAAACTTATGGTTAAATTAAAAATATAAGTGACTAAAATATAAAACTCAAAATCCTAATTCGAAATACATAAAATATGGGTATTAAAAGTATAATTTAAACATAATAATAATATGTGACTAGAATATAGAAAATTAAAACTCTAGGTGTAAATAATAAAATGAAAACTTATGGTAAAAATAATTAATGATTAAATTATAAGCTATAAAACTTAAATGCTCTAACTTGAAATATTATAAAATTTGAGCGCTAACAGTGTGATTTAACCTATATTAGTTATTTGGGATTGAAATATTAAATATAAAAATATGAGGGACTAAATATGATATTTATCCTAAATATATAAATATTTACTGATTAATGACTAAAACATAATATATTAAAATTCGAATACCAAATTAAAATAAATAAAAATAATTGTTGGTGAGTATTTTGTAAAGATTATAAATATGGAATATCGCAGAAGGGGTTTACCCCATAGGAAATTACAGAAACACCCTCCCCAAAACGGCGTCGTTTGGGAGAGGGTATTTAACCCCCAAATGGGTGGCCCTACGGGCCATTCTCTCATTTCCTCTTTTCTTCCTTTCTCTCTAAAAACGAGAGAAGCATTTCTCTCTCGCTTCTCTCTAGTCTCCTCCCACCGGAGGAACGGTGGTCACCGGTCGGCAGCCGTCTGCCGCCGTTAATTTCGCCGCCGGCTACCGTATCCAATGGCCGGAAATTACAAAACCCACCCCAAATCGAAGCCTCTATTTTTCTATACTCAAATCTAAAGTTGTTTTAGCCTAAAATCTTACCAAAACACATAGATCTACCTCCGATGTTTCGGTTTCAACGACGTAGGGAGGCACTGATGAGGTAAATATCTCAGTTTTTCTCTCTTTGTTTTCTGTTTTTGGCTTACTATTGGATGTGGGTGTTTGTTTACTCATTGTTTCTGTTCTCTCCGTTCGTTGTTGTTATGGACTCTTGTTCTCCGTTGCTCTCTGTCTTCTGCCGTGGCCCTCTCTCTTTTTTTGCAGGATTCGGCGGCTTTTATAGCCACCATGATGTTATACTTGGACCGGTCCCGAGAGGAAAACCTCGGTGAGTCACCAAAGCTAGGCCGGTGACTCATCGTAGGGATGGTTGTGTGCTTCCATCTGGCGTTCTGGAGTCTTCCTTGAGGTGGCGGCGTGGCAGCAAGGCGTCGGTAGCAGCTGGTTGGACCATCTGGCTTGGGAGGTGTCGGCAGAGGCGGCTGCTGGGAGTTCTTGGAGACTTGAGGCGGCGCCGCGTGGGGCTAGGGTTAGAAAACCCTAGCTGAAATGTTATAAACCCTAAAAGGGTTTGGGGTCATCTATTGGGCCATTCAGGTTGGGCCTGGATATTGTAAATGGGTTGTGATTTGGGTTTTGTAATATTTAATAAATAATAATAATAATAAATTTAAATTTAAATTTAAAATGGAAAAATTGATGTCTACAGCTACCCCTCTTTGCCCATCATTGTGTTAACAAGAATAGAGCAAAGACGAAAAAGACTAATTTTTTCATTTGGCTTTTTTTTAGCATGATGGAAATGTTGAAAACATCATGCACTGAAGGGCTTACAGATGACCCGAAGGTTTTGAAAACATCATGCACTGAAGGGCTTACAGATGACCCGAAGGTTTTGATAATATCAAAAAGCTCCCCGAAGGCTTTTTCAAAACATCCTGCACTGCAGGGCTTACGGATGACCCGAAGGTTTTGAAAACATCATGCACTGAAGGGCTTACAGATGACCCGAAGGTTTTTTGAAAACATCATGCACTGAAGGGCTTACAGATGAACCGAAGGCTTTTGAAACATAATGCACTAAAGGACTTACAGATGACCCGAAGGTTTTTTTGAAAACATCATGCACTGAAGGACTTACAGATGACCCGAAGGTTTTTGAAAACATCATGCACTGAAGGACTTACAGATGACTCGAAGGTTTTTAAAAACATCATGCACTGAAGGACTTAAAGATGACCCGAAGGTTTTTAAAAACATCATGCACTGAAGGACTTACAGATGACCCGAAGGTTTTTTTGAAAACATCATGCACTGAAGGACTTACAGATGACCCGAAGGTTTTTGAAAACATCATGCACTGAAGGACATACAAATGACCCGAAGGTTTTTGAAAACATCATGTACTGAAGGACTTACAGATGACCCGAAGGTTTTTTTGAAAACATCATGCACTGAAGGACTTACAGATGACCCAAAGGTTTTTTTGAAAACATCATGCACTGAAGGACTTACAGATGTGAGAAATAGTTTACTAAGTAAGAAACTATGAAAATCGTTTTCTTACTATTCAACAATTTCATTTTTAGAAAAGATTAAATGAGAAACTTAGGAAAGCGTTTTCTCATTTTTTTTTTTTAAATAACATGTTGATTGGGTAACATGCCCCAATCTCAAGATAA